CCTATTCACCTCTCCCTCCCTCCGCACGCCAAACCCCTGGTAACCACCGACTTTGTTGCTGCCTCCATAGTTTTGCTTTTCCAGAATGTCATATGGCTGGAATCGTACAGTATGAAGCCTTTTCAGATTGGATTCTTTCTTAGCAATCTATATTTAAGCTTTCTGCATGTCTTTTTATGGTTTGACAGCACTTTAAAAAAAACATTTATTTATTTATTTATTTATTTATTTATTTATTTTTGAGATGGAGTCTCTGTCACCCAGGCTGGAGTGCAATGGCACAATCTCGGCTCACCGCAACCTCCGCCTCCCGGGTTCAAGTGATTCTCCCGCCTCAGCCTCCCGAGCAGCTGGAATTACAGGCACCCACTACTGCACCCAGTATTGTATTTTTAGTAGAGACATGGCCAAGCTGGTTTCGAACTCCTGACCTCAGGTGATCCACCCGCCTTGGCCTCCCAAAGTGCTGGGTGTGAGCCACTGTGCCCGAACTTTTTGTTTTTTGGAATGGGGTTTCACCATGTTGGCCAGGCTGGTCTTGAACTCCTGACCTCGTGATCTGCCCACCTTGGCCTCCCAAAGTGCTAGGGTTACAGGTGTGAGCCACTGCGCCCAGCGTCTGGCCTATTTTTAAATGTTCCTTTTAAGACAGAGTTTCACTCTGTCGCCCAGGCTGGAGTGCAGTAGTGCAATCTCGGCTGACTGCAACCTCTGCCTCCCAGGTTCAAGTGATTATCGTGCCTCAAGAAGTAGCTGGGACTACGGGTGTTTGCCATGAAGCCCAGCTGATCTTTTTGTATCATTAGTAGAGATAGGGTTTTGCTGTAATGGCCAGGCCGGTATCAAACTCCTGGCCTCAAGTGATCCACACTTCTCAGCCTCCCAAAGTGCTGGGATTGTAAGTGTGAACCACTGTGCTTGGCTATTTATTTATTCATTTATTTTGAGACAGGGTCTCATTCTGTCACCCAGGCTGGAGTGCAGTGGCACAATCACGGCTCCCTGCAGCCTAGACCTCCTGGGCTCGGGCGATCCTCCTACCTCGGTCTCCTGAGTAGCTAGGACTGCAGGCACCCACCACCACACCTGGCCAATATTTGCATTTTTTGTAGAGATGGGGTTTCACTGTGTTGCCTAGGCTGGTTTCGAATTCCTGGGTTCAAGTGATCCACCTGCCTTGGCCTCCCAGAGTGTTGGGATTACAGGCATGAGCCACTGTGCCCAGCCAAAATTATTTATTTATTTAATCTCACTCTCTTGCCCAGGCTGGAGTGCAGTGACACAATCATGGCTCACTGCAGCCTCAATTTCCTGGGCTCAAGCAATCCTCCTGCTTCAGCATTCTGTGTAGAGCTGGGACCACAGTTGCATGCCACCACAGCCAGATACATTTTAAACTCTATGTACAGATGGGGGTCCCACTTGTTGCCCAGGCTAGTCTCAAACTTCTGGGCTCAAACAGTCCTCCCAACTTAGCCCCCCAAAGTGCTGGGATTATTTTCTTAGTGCTGAATAATATCCCGTTATATGAATATACTGAAATTTGTTTATCCATTCACCTACTGAAGGACATCTTAATTGTTTCCAAGTTTTGGCATTTATGAATAAAGCTGCTATAAATATCCATGTGCATGTGTGTGTGTGTGTGTGTGTGTGTGTGTGTGTGTGTAGACATAAGTTTTCAACTCACATGGGAGCACAATTGCTGAATTGTGTGGTAGTATATGCTTAGTTTGGTAAATACCTTCCAAAGTGGCTGTACCATTGTACATTCCCACCAGCAAAGAATGCGATTCCTGTTGCTCCACATCCTCATCAGCATTTGGTGTCATCAGTGTTTTGAATCTTAGCCTTTTTAGCAGATGTGGAGTGGTGTCTTATCATTTTATTTGCATTTCCCTAATAACATATGATATGGAGCATCATTTCACATGCTTATTTGCTATCTGTATATCTTCCTTGGTAAGGTATCTGCTTAGATCTTTCATACGTTTTTAAATTGAGTTTTTCTTTTATTCTTGGTTTTTAAAAGTTCTTTATATATTGCAGATACCAGTCCTTCATCAGATACGCCTTTTGCAAATATTTTCTCCATGCTTGGGACTCATGTTTTTCTTTTCTCTGTCCTTCTTCCTCCCTCCCTGCCTCCCTCTCTCTCTTTCTCTCTTTCCCTCTGTCCTTCTTTCCTTTTCTCTCTTTCTTTCCTTTTCCCTCTTTCTTTCTCTCTTTCTTTCTTGTTTCCATCTTGTTGCCCAGGCTGGAGTACAATGGTGAGATCTTGCCTCACTGCAACCTCCACCTCCTGGGTTCAAGCAATTCTCCTGCCTCAGCCTCCTGAGTAGCTGGGACTACAGGCACCTGCCACCACACCCGGCTAATTTTTGTATTTTTAGTTAAGACAGGATTTTGCCATGTTGACCAGGCTGGTCTCAAACTCCTGGGCTCAAGTGATCCACCTGCCCTGGCCTCCCAAAGTTCTGGAATTACAGGTGTGAACCACCATGCTCAGCCATGTTTTTATTTTCTTAATAGTGTCTTTTGCAGAGCAGAGTTTTTAATTTTAAAGAAGTACGATTTATCTTTTTTTTTTTTTCTTTTGTGGATCATGCTTTTGGTGTTGTATCTATCCCCATGTTTTTACCTTTCTGGTCACCAGAGAGACAAGTCAGTGTTGGTTTGGGCAGTATAAATTGAAAGAGCAGGAGGGCAGGAATTGATCCCTTGACTTTGTCCCCAAGCAATAGATTCCAACTCTTGATATCGTGCCTTAGTTGCTGTGGCTATCACGCTTCTATGAAACAAAACAACCTCGGAATGCAAAGGCTTGTCATAATAAGCATCTATTTCTCTCTCACATGTCCACAGCTCAGATGGAGTTCTTTTGATCTAGGCTGGGCTCAGGCCTGCAGGTTCATCTAGGTCTGCTCCATCTGTCACTCATCTTCCTTAGACCATGTTCTTTTCAGGGCAAAAGGCTGGAAGGCAAGCCCAGCCCCACAAGCACATCTCAAGCCTCTGCTTGCATCACATCTGCTAACATCCCATTGCCTAAAGCAAGTCTCATGATCAAGTTCAACACTGATGGAGCAGGGAAGTGTGCTCCTCCCATTGGATTATTATCACATATCATAAGGCCAGATTTCCATCATAAGACCCTGGGCTCTGCTTCCAGGTACCCAAGACACACATTAAAAAGCAAGAAAGTAATTAAATGAGCAACTAGGTAAGTTGAAACACTACTAGATTTATTTTCTACCGTTCTTATATTCAGTTCCTAAGGTCAGAACCCCACACTACTGAGGGGTACAGAATCAAGTTCATGTAGAATTTCATGGGACCCTGGAGGGTGATGTGATGTAGAACCTTCAGGGGATGCAATAATATAGAAAGGCATTGTTTGCTTTTCACTCCTTGTCCACTTCTTTTTGTCTTTCTGTGATAAAAAAAAAAAAAAAAAAAAAAAAAAAAAACTAGCTGCCAGGGACTTTCAGCTGAGGCAATATTCAAGAAGCCCCCAGCACTTCATCTTCTCTGCTTCCTACACAGGGCTCCCACCCTTCCACTGAGAGCTTCCCTTGTAGGGTACTAAACACTTCTCAGCAGCCATATCTCCAGACCAGGATTCCTGCAACAGTAAATACCATCTCAACAAGTATGATGGCTGCTTGGCGGGAAACGTTAGGTTTGGGGGAAGTCCCCAGCCCTGGGGAGCTGGAAGCTGACAGCTCTTGTAGCAATGTGGCCTAACAGGAAAGTCAGGATCCCAGATCATGAGAAACCATCCTGGAAGACCCAGCTCCTTGGAGGCAAAACCCATCCAGCATCTGGAGACCAGCGGAGAAGGCAGAATAATTCTCCCTCTACTGAAAGATGTTCACGTCCTGACCCTCAGAGCCTGTGAAAATGTTACCTTGCGTGGCAAAAGGGGCTTTGCAAAGCTGATTAAGAATCCTGAGATGAAAAGATCATTCTGAATTATCCAGGTGGATCCAAGGGGTTCTTGCAAATGAAAGAGGGGAAGAAGACTCAGAGTCAGAGAAGATATGAGAACGAAAGCAAAGTTTGGAGGAATGAATGAAACGGACTGATGAGCGAAGGAATGGGAGCAGCCTCTAGAAGCTGGGAAAGGCAAGGAAACAAATTCTGCCTTAGAGGCTCCAAAAGAAATGCAGCCTTGCCAACCCATTCAGTCCCTCTGACTTCTGGAACAGTAAGGTTATACATTCATCTATCTATCCATCTATTCATCCATTCATCCATTCATTTATCTACTGAGACAGAGTCTTGCTCTGTCACCCAGGCTGGAGTGCAGTGGCACAATCTCGGCTCACTGCAACCTCCGCCTCCCGGGTTCAAGCAATTCTCATGCCTCAGCCTCCCCAGTAGCTGGAATTACAGGTGCCTACCATCATGCCTGGCTAATTTTTGTATTTTTAGTAAAGACTGGGTTTCACCATGTTGGCCAGGCTGGTCTTGAACTCCTGACATCAAGTGATCCACCTGCCTCAGTCTCCCAAAGTGCTGGGATTACAGGCATGAGCCATTGTGCCCGGCCCAATAAGGTTATACATTTGTGTTGTCTTAAGCTACCAAATGCATGGTAATTTGTTACAGGAGCAAGAGGAAACTAATACCAGCCAGCAACTATTTTAGGGCAGTTAGAAAACTTCACACGTTGAACCCCAATTTTCTCTCCTTTCTCTCTTTGTTTCTTTTTGTTTGTTTGTTTTTGAAACAGGGTCTCAAGCTGTCACTCAGGCTGGAGTGCAGTGGCACGATCAGAGCTCACTGCGGCCTCGACCTCCTGGGCTCAAGCACTCCCCAGCAACTCGGTCTCCCAAAGCACTGGTGTTACAAGTCAGAGCCACTGCACCCAGTCTGAATCCCACTTGCCTTTGTATTCTGGTCCCCAGGAGAGTCCTTCACACTTTCTGACTTGTCATACAGGAAGAAGGCGCATAGATATTCAGGAATTGGAAGGACAGGAAAACCAACCTTTGGGTAAAGATTTTGGCATTTATATCTTTTATTTAAATATTCATTTCACTATTTTGAAAGTTTCCCATCCAAACCACAGCTGTAACTGAAATCCAACCATTCCAGGAAACAGAAATATCAAGTTGGGGGCTTCCTGAGAATGTCAGATTATGGATTGCTAGAGTCAAAAAGAGATTTTCCAGTCCAACCTACCCACTGGACAGATGAGGAAACTGTGGCTGAAGCCAGGGTGGGTGTCTGGGAGTAGGAAGGTGGCCTGGGCCCTGGTGGGTGGTGCTGGAGCCACCTTGCAGCCACCACCTGGGCCCCTGGCCCTGTCCTGGTCCTGCCCATTATGGCTGCTGTTGGTACTGGCTCTCTGTGGCCGTGTAGAAGTCATCCAGCACACTCTGGATGTATTCAAAGGTCGGCCGCTCCTCCGGACGGTTCTTCCAGCAGCGCGTCATGATGCTGTAGAGCTCCTCTGGGCAGTGCTCTGGGCGGGGCATCCGGTATCCACGCTCCAGAGCTCGGATCACTTCAGGGTTTGACATCCCTGAAAAGGAGCCATGGAATTAAAAAGGAAGCAGTTGGGAAATGAGATCCCAGAGGTGCCAGGCCCTGCGGCCTCACCAGCAGCCATCACTCCCCACCTCACCTTGCAAGCTGAGCCCCTCCCACTGTGAAAGGCAGAGACTTCCTCCTCCAGCTTCACTTGCAGCTAGGACATGGGCCTGGGACATGGTTTTGGCCAATGGGAGCTGACAGGGAGGTCGGCTGGGAGACACCAGGAAAGGTTTTCCTCCCACTCAGAGGACAGTCTTTGGAAAACACACCCTTCGTCTCTTCCTTTGGACACTGTGAGCTACTTATGATACTCAGAACTGCAATCACCATCTTACCACATGGGGAACATCACCACAGAGGCAGGAACTCAGAGTCCTGACTCAGTCCTGCAGAGCCACTGAACTAACCAGTCACCAGTGCCAGAGGGGGAGTAATAGCTTGCTCTGTTTCAGTTACTCTTAGTCTGTCATTTTGTGGCATGCAGCAGAACACATCCTTCTGGATTTGGCGTCTATAGTGTGTTGTCTGGTTTTACCTAGTGCAATCTCAGGACAAAACAGTCAGGTGACCAGATTCAGTGTCACCCTGTGAGTGGGACCATTTTCTTGTTCAATTTAAGTTTTTATTAGTTATTCATAAGAACAGCAGCGTCCTTGATCCCCAATTTTATATTATTAGTTTCAAACTCCAAACTTGGGAGGCCCAGGTATTTGGATCACTTGAGATCAGGAGTTTGAGACCAGCCCGGACAACACAGTGAAACCCCCTCTCTACTGAAAATACAAAAACTAGCCACATGTGATGGTGCACACTTGTAATCCCAGCTGCTCGGGAGGCTGAGGCAGGACAATCGCTCGAACCCACGAGGTGGAGGTTGCAATGAGCCGAGATCATGCCAGTATACTCTAGCCTAGGCAACAGAGCAAGACTCCATCCCAAAGAAGTGAATAAATAAAAAGTAACATATCAGAAAATAAAGGTGACTGCAATTCTGACCTCTACTGCTGTAAATAAATGAACTCAAATGCCTCCTTTACTTGTAGGTCTCTATACTTAAGTCATCTCAAATTTAAGAGGGTTAAAATGGAGTTCTCCAATTTATTTCTTCTTTTTTTCTTTTTGAGATGGAATCTCGCTCTGTAGCCTTGGCTGGAGTGCAGTGGTTTGATCTCAGCTCACTGCAGCCTCTGCCTCCTGGGTCCTGGTTCAAGCAATTCTCCTACCTCAGCCTCTCAAGTAGCTGGGATTATAGGCACGAGCCACCATGCCCAGCTAATTTTTTTTTTTTTTTTTTAAGTAGAGACGGGGTTTCACCATGTTGTCCAGTCTGGTCTTGAACTCCTGACCTCGTGATCCACCAGCCTCGGCCTCCCAAAGTGCTGGGATTATAGGTGTGAGCCACCGTGCCCTGCCAGAGCTCCCCAGTTTCTATCTCTAGACCATCACCCACCCTGTGGTGCAAAGCCAGGGTAATCATCTTTGATTCTCTCTCCCTCACCTCCTAAGTCAGCAAGTCAGATCTTTCCTTCTTTTGAAACGTAGCACGAGTTCATCAATGTATGCCTGTCACGAATCCACCACCCTATGCCTGGGTCACTGCTGTGGCCTCCTCATGGGCTGCCACCCTGTTCCCCTTCCTTCCCATTCATGCTTCACGCTGAGCTAAAGCATCACTTAAAAAAGGAAATCACCAGCCCAGCAACATAGCACCACCTTGTCTCTCAAAAAATTTTTAAAAATTAACTGGGCATGGTAGTGTGTGTGTGTAATCCCAGCATTTTGGGAGGCCAAGGCTGGAGGATTGTTTGAGCCTGGAAGTTTGAGACCAGGCTGGACAACATAGTGAGACCAAGTCTTTACAAAAAATACATATAAAACAAATAGCCAGGCATGGTGGCTCGTGCCAGTGGTCCCAGATACTTGGGAGGCTGAAGAGGGATGATCACTTGAGCCTAGGAAGTTGAGGCTGCAGTGAGCTATGATTGCACTGCTGCCCTCCAGCCTGGGCGACAGAGTGAGACCTTGTCTGAAAAAGAAAGAAAGAAAGAAAAGCATGGAGTAAGGACAAGATCTGATTCACAGTTTAGAATTATCCTTCTGGCTGCAAGTGGAGAATGGGCTGTAGGATGCGTGGGGAGAATGCAGTGAGACCGACGAGGAGGTCGCTGTGCCATCCATGGGAGAAGATGCTGGCCTGGATGCAGTGGAGACTGCAGGGTTCACAGTGGTGAGACTTGGGATATGTTTTGGAGTCCAGTAGCCAAAACCTTGTGACTGCTTAGATGTCGTAGGGGTGAGGCTGGGCATGGTGGCTCACATCTGTAATCCCAGCACTTTGGGAGGCTGAGGCAGGTGGATCACCTGAGGTCAGGAGTTCGAGACCAGCCCGGCCAGCATGGTGAAACTCTGTCTCTACTAAAAATACAAAAATTAGCCAGACATGGTGGTGGGCACCTGTAATCCCAGTTACTCAGGAGGCTGAGGCAGGAGAATCGTTTGAACCCAGGAGGCGGAGGTTGCAGTGAGCTGAGATCATGCCATTGCACTCCAGCTTGGGCAACAAGAGTGAGACTCTGTCTCAAAAAAAAAAAAAAGTAATAGGGGTGAGAGAGAAGGAAGGGCCAAGGAAGCCCCCAGATTTCAGGCTTAAGACACTGAATGGGTGGTGGTGCCTTTAACTAAGATGGGAAAGGTGAGGGAAAGTTGGGGGTGAGGATCAAGAACTCAATTTGAATGGGCACGTTGATGAGATGAACCCATTGCCAGGCTGGGCCCTGAAAGCAGCCCCGAGCTGATGCCGCTTCCCTACCTGGGTAAGGGATTCGGCCATAGGTGACGATTTCCATCAGCAGGACACCAAAGGACCAGACGTCTGACTTGATGGTGAAGGAGCCAAAGTTGATGGCCTCAGGAGCTGTCCATTTGATGGGGAACTTGGCCCCTGTAGGGTGGAGCAGAGCAGAGTCAGGGGAAGGCTGGGGAGCAGTGAGGGCTGGGACTCTGCTAAGGTGGGAAAACAGGCAAGGGCAACGGCTGCCAACATCTGCCCCTGCAGAACTGCAATTTCCCTGTTAGGTGGCCTCCCTGTGGAAGCAAGGGACATCCATCCTGAGGACAGATGGCCAGACAAGGAGGAGTGGGCAGAGGGATCTGGGGTGTGGCGTGGAAGTTCACTCTCTAAGAGGCCTCCTCGTTGATCAGCTGATACCCCAGGAAACCACAACTCCGAAGAGTGGAATCCCAGAGGTCACAGATCTTTGGGGACAGAAGGACTTCAGGGGATCTCGAGTCCAGGTTGTAGCCAATGCCTCAGTCTTCCGACCCCGGGCGATAGGGGAAGGAGGATTCTGACTCTCAGCCTATGAGGTTCCCACCAGTCACTGTGTGTCTCCCCCTTCCCTCCTCCCACATAGTCTGACATGGGTTTAGTTAGCCTTTTCAATTTTTTTTTTTCTTTTAGAGACAGGGTCTTACTCTGTTGCCCAGGCTGGAGGAGTGGCACAATCATAGGTCACTGCAGCCTTGAACTCCTGGCCTCGAGCTATCCTCCTGCCTCAGCCTCTCACGCAGCTGGGGCTAGAGGTGTGCACCACTATGCCCAGCTAATTTAAAAACAAAAACAAATAAACAAAAAAACTTGTCCAGGCACAGTGGGTCATGACAAGGCTTCCTTTTTTATAGAAAAGGAATATGAAGGGCTGGACACGCTGGCTCTTGCCTGTAATCCCAGCACTTTGGGAGACCGAGGTGGGTGTGGTTTCAGGTATTCAGGAGGCTGAGGCTGGAGGATTGCTTGAGCCCAGGAGTCAGAGGCTGCAGTGAGCTATGATCATACCTCCACTACAGCCTGGGTGACAGAGCAAGCACCTGTCTCTTCAAAAAATAAATAGGCCTGGTGTGGTGGCTCATGCCTGTAATCCCAGCTCTTTGGGAGGCCCAAGCAGGTGGATCACTTGAGGTCAGGAGTTTGAGAACAGCCTGGCCAACATAGTGAAACCCCTTCTCTACTAGAAATAAAAACTAGCCAGGCATAATGGAGTGTGATTAGGATCCCACCTGCTCAGGAGGCTGAGGCAGGACAATCGCTTGAACTCAGGAGGTGGAGTATGCAGTGAGCCGAGATCAAGCCAATGCATTCCAGGTTGGGAAACAGAGCAAGACTCTGTCTCAAAAAAATAAACAAATAAAAATTAAGCTAACAGAAAATAAAGGTGACTGCGATTCTGACCTCTATGATATAAATAAATTTTGCCTGTTTCTAACAGCTTTATTGAGCTAGAATTCACAGACCATACATTTCACCCATTTAAAGTACATAATTCCGTGGCTTTTAGAATAGTCATGAAGTTGTGGATTTCAGAATATTTTCATCACATTTCCCTGCAAAAAACCCACAGAAGTGACTCCCCATTTCTCCCGATTCCCCACCACCAGCTGCAGGCACGACTCATCTACTTTCTCTCTCTTTAGATTTGTCTGTTTTGGGCTGGGCCTGGTGGCTCACGCCTGTAATCCTAGCACTTTGGGAGGCTTGAGGTCAGGAGTTTGAGGCCAGCCTGGCCAACATGGTGAAACCTCGTCTCTACTCAAAATACAAAAATTAGCTAGGCGTGGTGGTATGTGCCTGTAATCCCAACTATTCAGGAGGTTGAGGCACAAGAATTGCTTGAACCTGGGAGGCAGAGGTTGTAGTGAGCTGAGATCATGCTAATATACTCCAGCCTGGGTGACAGATCAAGAGTACGTCTAAAAAAAAAAAAAAAAAAAAGATGGCCTGTTCTGGACATTTCACAGAAGAGGAATTAAACAGTATGTGGTCTTTGTGTCAGCTTTCCCTTAACATAATGTTCTCAAGGATCATCTGTGTGCTGCCTGACATAGCATTTCATTCTATTTTGTGGCCAAATAATATTCCATTGTATGAATATACCACATTTTGTTTCTCTGTTCATCAGTCTGTGGACATTAAAGAGGGTTGTTTCCGTCTTTTGGCTGTTAGGAAGAATGCTTCCATGAACGTTCATATACAAGTTTTGTCTCTTTTTGAATTTTACAAAAATAAAAGCAATTGGCATGTACTCTTTTTTCGTCTAATTTCTTTCATTTTGCTATACCTGTGAGAGTTACCCATTTTGGTGCATTTAGCATTGGTTTGTGCTTTTTTTGAGGCACCAGGCTAATTTTTGTATTTTTAGTAGAGACAGGGTTTCACTATGTTGGTCAGGCTAGTCTGGAACTCCTGACCTCATGATCTGCCTGCCTTGACCTCCCAAAGTACTGGGATTACAGGCGTGAGCCACCGTGCCCAGCCTTTTTTTTTTTTTTTTTAAGACAAGGTCTTGCTCTGTCCAGCAGGCTGGGTTCAGTGGCATGATCACGGCTTACTGCAGCCTCCACTGTCTAGACTCAAGTTAATTCTCTCACCCGAACCTCCTGAGTAGCTATGACTATAGGCATGTGCCACTATGCCTGGCTAATTTTTTAAATTTTTGTAGAGACTAGGTCTCCTGTGTTGCCCAGGCTGGTCTTGAGCTCCTGGGCTCAAGCAATCCTCCTGCCTCGGCCTCCCAAGTGCTGGGATGACAGGCATGAGTCACTGAGCCTGGCCGGTTTGTGCTTTTGCATCACTGCGTGGTATTAAATTCTGTGAATAAACCACAGTGCATACATCCATCTTCCTGCTTATGGACATTTGGGTATCGGCCCTATTTTTGTCTGTTATGCACAAAGCTGCTCTTGCCCTTCATTTCAACCTATATTGCCTAACTCCCTCTAAAATCTATCAGTACTTCTCCATCTGATCTAAAATCTCCTTCTCAAAGTCTCTGGGTGAGACTCTGAAGTTCAGGACATTATCCAGAAGTATCCACCAAGCTCAAGAATGCACAGCGAAGACTGGGGCAGACCCTTGCATTTTGCCAATCACTCTCACACGTATCAACTCAACGCTCACAACCATCCAAATGGGCAACGTGGGCCCACCGGGCAGCGCTCCCTACCTTCCCGAGCCGTGTACTCATTGTCCTCGATGATCCGGGCCAGGCCGAAGTCGGCAATCTTACACACCAGGGCTGCGGAGACCAAGATGTTGGCGGCTCGGAGGTCTCGGTGGATGTAGTTCCTCTGCTCGATGAAGGCCATGCCTTCTGCAATCTGCACCCCGAACAGAGACACTTCTGTCCTCAGACCTGGCTTGTGCCAAGAGGGCCCCGCCCGATAGCAGCAGAGAGGTGTGCAAGCGGAAGACCATGGGAAATGTCGGCACCAGCCCTCAGTCTTTTGTTGGGAAGGCCCCGGGGCTCAGGATGGCATTCAGGTTGGGGGGATCCCTAAGGCCTGGGTCACTTTGAGGGATTCTCTAGAGTTCCAAGACTTTCAGAGAGCACTTTGAAGTGTTCTCAAGGAAAAGGCAATGGGACTATTTCTCCAGGACTTATTCCTCCAGGAACACACACACACACACACACACACACACACACACACGCACACACAAACTCTAGGACACTATGAAGAGCTTTCATCTTCAACGCTCTTTCTGGGGACAACCTATGCTCATGTCATATTCTGCTATACCTCTTATATCTTTCTCATGCCCCAGCCCTGGGTAGGGAAAATTCACTTATTTACTCAACAGAAATCTACTGAGTGTCTTGTGGGTGCCAGACATGTTGCTCGAACAGGTGGTAAGCCAGGCAAAACCGCCACAGGTAGAAAGTCCTATAAAGAAAAGATAAAACAGGCCGGGCGTGGTGGCTTACACCTGTAATCCCAGCACTTTGGGAGGATGAAGTGGGTAGATCACTTGAGGCCAGGAGTTCGAGACCAGCCTGGCTAATATGGCGAAACCCTGTCTCTACTAAAAATACAAAAGGACGATGAGCGTGGTGGTGTACGCCTCTAATCCCAGCTGCTCAGGAGGTGGAGGCACGAGAATTGCTTGAACCTAGGAGGCAGAGGCTGCAGTGAGCCGAGATCATGTCACTGCAGCTTGGGTGACAGAGCAAGACTCTGTCTCAAAAAAGAAACAAAAGATAAAACAGAGTAACAAAATATGACCTGTAGAGGGCTTTTTCAGATTGGGTGTTCAGGGAAACCTGCTTTGAGGGAGTGAGATTTTAGCAGAGATAGGAATGATGATGATAATACTAAGTGTGTCACATAAGAATATTCTAGGCAGAGAGAACATCAGGTGCAAAGGCGCAGAGGTAGGAAAGAGCTTCGGTGTTCGTGGAACAGCACAGAGGCCAGCGTGGCCAGCAGAAGACGCCACAGAGAGAGTGTGGAGAGCTGAAGTGGAAAGGGAGGCCTCAGTCATGAACAGCCTTGTCGGCCAGGACAGGAGGGTGGATTTTATTCTGAGCATGCTGGGGAGATATTAGAGGCCTTCGAGCAGAAGGGTGACATGTTCTGATGTACATTTAAAGATCACATGGCTGCCGAGTGAAACGGACTGCCTGGAGGATTCTTATCCACACCGGGGGCCCTAGAAGCCTTTGATGAAAACACAGGGATTATATCTTACAGTCATTTTTACTTACGAGGGTTTGGACAAAAGAGGTTGAAGATGAACCCTCAGATGCCCAGAAAGCAGCACTTTTGGCTTACAAACTGGGCTATGAGCAATCTGAGGCAGGAATGATCATGATCTCTGCTTTACAGACATGGAAACACTCGTTCCACTTCACACCACCAGAAACATTCTGAATGTCGGGCTCAAGCCAGTCTGAGGATTCCCAACCTAGTGCTTCCTGCTGCCTCTAAATAACTCAGCACTGCAGTGCTCCAGTGGACTGCAGCTGGGTGCAGTTTGATGAAATTACTCTGGAAGCGAGAGCGTCTGACTAGACAGAACAATCAAAGCACCACCAGCTGGCCTCCCAGCGTCTGAGGCAAGTGAGTGGCGCACTTGCAGGGAGTGGACAGCAGGGGACACCCGAGGCAGTTAGAATGGAGAGCCAGGCTTTTTTTTTTTTTTTTTTTTTTTTTTTTTTGAGACTGGCTCTTGCTCTGTCACCTAGGTTGGAGTGCAGTGGTGGGATCACAGCTCACCGCAACCTCTGTCCCCTGGGCCCCTGTGTTGCCCAGGCTGGGCTCAAACGGTCCTCTTGCCTCGGCCTCCCAAAGCGCTGGGATTACAGGCCTGAGCCGCCACGCTTAAGGGAGACGCAGACTTTTCAATAAAAGCTTGGAAGAGACTCTGATTTTGTTTGGAGTCGTAGGGAGTAGGGACGAGATAGGGATGAGGTTGCCGGGACGGATTGAAACAGCATCTTGGTCCTGGGAGTGTGGGAAATGTATGAGTCTTAGATGCATAGCTTGTTTACAAGATGATAAACACTTAAGTGACATTTACCTTGTGCTTTGGAGGAGGCATTTTTGCTGTCAGCCCCCTTTCCACAGATAAGAAAACTGAAGCCCAGAGAAATAGGTGAGTGGCCCCAGCTTACACAGCTTGCCAGCTGTGGAGCCCGGGCAGGAACTCCAAAAGCGCTGCCTGAGGTCTGTGCACTTGCCTGTTACTCTGCCCAACCTTTTTGCCTGGCTTTTCTTCTGGAACAAGCACCAATGCCAGGAGTTACCGCTGTTTGATCCCCACTGGCAGATGCTCATACTACTGATTTTCACAGGAGCTCAATGGGCCGGGGCTGACACCCGACTCAGGAGACAGCAGAGGATATTGGCTAAATGGCTCTGGAGCTGGACCAGCTTAGCTTGCGTGTTGCAGCTCTGTGATGTCAAGCAAATTGTGTCATCTCTCTGTACCTCACTTTCTTCTCTGTAATAGCACCTGGTTCCAAGGGGTCATGTGAAGATTAATCCCCTAAGCCTACATCAAGGGCTTAGCGGAGTGTCTGGCACATAGTGAAGTATATATTTCAGTAGTGGCTCCCGGTGCTCTCAGTAGGGGACAGTGGCACTCAGAGAGGTTAAGCTACTTGCTTGAAGCTACACAGGCAGAGCTGAGATCAAAACAAAACTCTATGTAACTCCTAAGCCCAGATGCTCATAGTGCTGCCTCTCAAGGGTTTGCAGACTGGAGGAGTAACCAGTAGGTTTATTGAGCCCAGGTGTCAGCACTGGGGGTTGATAAGGTGGTGAGATTTTACGATCCCCAGACAAGGTGCCATGAGGTTGGGCATTGGAACTGGGGTTTGCTTCCAAGAGTATCAGGGTGTCACAGCATCAGGCCTGGAAAGACCTGTAGAGCTCTTCAAAATGAATCCTACGGATGCTTCAAGATTATATGGGGCCGAGGGAGACAAAAGAAAGGCCACAGATAAGCCCCCCACCCTGCTTCAGTCAGAGCAGCTCTGTTTTGACTTGTTTGTATATACACGGCTACTGCATACCATTTCATTTGACCAACACAGCTGTGACTTCAGAAAAAAGAAAAAAGAAAAAAAAAATCCCGCATTGTGGTCCAGTTCCCTCATTTGACACATGGGGAGACTGAGACCCAAAGTGGGTTGGAGGTCAATAGCCAGTTGGTGGTGACAGGCTGGGGAACCCACCTGCTGCTCCAAGCTGCCTCTCTGAGTCTGGAGGTGAAGACCAAGGCCCCAGGTGGGCTCCTTCCTTCCCCTGGGCTCTGAGTCTACCTCTGCTTCTGGACCCAGAACCTCTTTTCCTTCCTTGGTTTGTTTCCCTTCTGTGAAACAGGGAGAGTGGCTCTTGCCCTGGTCCGTGACTGCTGCCCAGCAGGGTTTCTGCTAGTTTGAAGATGATAATATAGCAACAGACCGGTCTATTGTCTCCCAGGGGACTGGGCCCACTGGAGTGAAAACATATTTCCATATCCCTCTGGCATTCCAGGCTCTGAAAGTAGTCTTTTGTTATACCTTGTGGTGTCCTCTGGGCCCCTGGAATTTACATACTCAAATGAGCCCTGCCCTTGGCATCTGTAGCAGGCCCAGCTGAGGCCCAGGCTGGGTCTCACTGGACTCCCACCACCCCCTGGGCTCCTGCCGAGTAGGCTGAACTCCTTCACCTACTTTTGCACAGGCTGTTTCTTTTGTCTAGAAGACCCTTCCCTTTTCTCTTCATCTACTGAACTTCTACTCAGCCTTCAGACTCAGTCTGAAGGCCGCTTCCTCCAGGAAGCATTCTCTGATTGCTAAATGCTCTAACTCTGCACTCCAATAACACCCCATCCTCACACTCTGTTTCCCCACACATTGGAGAGAGCATGAGCGAGGACAGAAGTAAAAAAATCTGCTCAGGCTGGGGATGAGAGGAGCTGCAAAGGGCAAGAGAAACATGAGAAAGAAAAGGAGGTTTTCAGCAGTGTTTCTGCAATTTGCAAACATTACTTTGTTGGATACTGTAATTGTTTGACTCAGCCAAGACCCCTTGGGTCATGGTCCCTAAGAGATTCTGTTATTTAATGCCTTTCTTCCCATTTGGACTGTGAATTCTATTAGGACAGGAACATTTTCATTTTGTTCCCTGCTATATCCCCCATAATTAGCACAGTAACTTATGCAAGCCACTTAACCACACTGGGCCTCAGTTTCCTCATCTGTACTTTACTTCTTCTCTATGCCTCAATTTTCTATTCTGTAAAATGGGACGATAATTACCTCCCTGTGGCCAGACTGTTACACTGGTGGGGGGGGGGGGGTCCCTGGGATTTGTGCCCTTAGTCAGTCCCCTCCCACACTGATTCTGGGCATAGCCATGTGACTTGGCCAATGGGTCATTAGCAAGCCTGATGCAGCTAGAGGCTTAATGAGAACCTGCTCATGAGGGCTTGGCCCCTTGTCCCGATCCATTTTGGAACCAAGCTGCTGTGCCATGAAGCAGCTCAGGCTGGGTGATTGGGTGGTGAGGGGCCACGTGGAGGCTGAGCCATGTCTTGGACATTCTAGCCTGGGCAAGTGCCAACAGGATGCATCCGCACCTCACTTTACAACAACGAGCAGAAGAACCACCCAGCTGAACCCAGGCAACCCAGAGGATCATGAGAAATAATAATTGCTATTGTTTCAAGCTAGTAGGACTTGGGGTGGTTTGTTATACCAAAATAGGTAACAAGAATCCCAGCCTATAAAGCTTATATGATGATTAAATGAATGAGTACACGTATAATTAAATACATGCAAAAAGCATAGTTTTATACTGAGCACTCAGTACATTTTACCCATTATTATTACTGCTATGGTCATAGTACATGGTCAGTAAATATTTGGCAAATAAAAAATTGAATCCCTGTCTCCCTTCCCCGTTTCCTCATTAGGCTCTCACCTGGGCTGAGAAGTCAATGAGTTGTGGCAAGGGCTGCTTGCTGCCCTCATCACTTTTCAGAAAATCCAGCAGGCTTCCTATATGGGGGAGAGCAGAGGAAGGTTTACTACTCTTATTATTTAATGGCAAAAGCCACAATGACTTTTGCACCAACATAATACTTTAGCAAGCGGTGAAGATTTTTCACAGTAGTAGATTTAAATAAAAATATTTGCTTGTGGCCAGGCACAGTGGCTCATGCCTGTAATCCCAGCATTTTGGGAGGATGAGGCGGGTGGATCACCTGAGGTTGGGAGTTCGAGACTAGCCTGACCAGCATGGAGAAACCCCATTTCTACTAAAAATACAAAATTAGCCAGGCATCGTGGCGCATGCCTGTAAACCCAGCTACTTGGGAGGCTGAGGTGGGAGAATCACCTGAACCCGGGAGGTGGAGGTTACGGTGAGCCGAGACTGCACCATTGCACTCCAGCCTGGGCAACAAGAGCAAAACTCTCTCAAAAAAAAAAAAAAAATTTTTTTTTTGTTTGTTTGCAAGTTCTAGTGTTTGAGAAAGAGAATTTGAGTTTTTGATTGCTAGATGGGTTCTGTGACTGAGACAGCCCCTGGGCCCGGATACCTGGGATCATGCCTTTACAGGACTGGCATAATTGCATAGTTGAAATAAAAAAGGCTGGAGGTTTCAAATCAGACTAAATGGGATTGCGTGAAATGATTCTGTTTATCCAAAAATGGGCAGAGTGGCTAGGCATGGGGCTCACGCATGTAATCCCAGCACTTTAGGAGGTCGAGGTGAGAGGATCACCTGAGGCCAAGAGCTTGAGACCAGCCTGGGCAACATAGCAAGACCCAATCACTAGCAGAATTTTATAAATATATATGTTAGGCCAGGCTCAGTGGTTCATGCTTGTAATCCCAGAGCTTTGGGAGGATTACTTGAGCCCAGGAGTTTGAGACCAACTGGGGCAAGATGGCAAGACCCTGTCTCCAGAAAAAATTTTTAGAAATTAGCTAGGTGTGGTAGCGCATGCCTGTAGTCCCAGCTACTGGGGAGACTAAGTCAGGAGGATCCCTGGAGCCTCAGAGTTCGAGGCTGCAGTGAACTATGATCACGCCACTGCATTCCAGCCTGGGCAGGCAGAGGGCAACCCTATCTCTAAAAATAAATAAGTAAATAAATAAATAAATAAATAAAATTAGCTGGGTGTGGTGGCATGGGCCTGTGGTCCCAGCTGCTTGGGGGGTTGGGATGGGAGGATCACTTGAACCCAGGAGTCATGATTGCACCATTGCACTCCAGCCTGAGTGACAGAGCAAGACCCTGTCCCTAAAAAACAAACAAACAAAAAATGGGCAGGGTTTGAAAATGGTTGTGAAATAGTGGCCTAAAAAAATTCCCCAAGAAATCCTGAGTTGTGGCAGGGTGGGGTGGAAGCAGAACTGCTGCTTTGCCAGCTTCCCTCTCCCAGGGCATTGGCACGTATGGGGAAGGTGGCTGATGTGGGAGAGAGCCACCCTGCCACCCCGGCCTCTAAGGCTCATTGTGAACCACAAGCCCCTTCTCCCATCACCCAGGCGTATTCTGGCCCCATTCCCTTCTCCTTGTAACCCCATGCTCCCCATTCCCCTTGGTGGCCCCTTAAGATGATCTCACTCCACTAACCAGGAGGGCTGAATGGTTGCACATTAGAATCTCAATGAGTACTTGTTGGAAGAGCTCCTGACCAGACTGGGGCCATCTCAAGGGCAAGAACCATGTCCAAGCCGCCCTTGAACTCACAATTGACCAGTATAGGCCGCAGCCTGCACCCCTAGCCCCAGCATGCAGCACCTTTGGCCATGAACTCCGTGATGATGTAGATGGGCTCCGTGGTGACCACCGCATGAAGTTTGACCAGCTTGTCATGCTGCAGAGTTTTCATCACATTGGCCTCTGCCAGGAAGGCCGCCACCGACATGCTCCCTGGCTTCATCGTCTTCACCGCCACTTTGGTGTGCTTGTTGTAGGTGGCTGAAGGGGAACAGAGAGCAGGGAAGGTGGTCAGAGCTCACTGGTCCTCCCGTATCATCTAGAAGGCCCAGCTGCAGACCCGCCTCCTCCAGAAAGCCTTTCCTGTTCATCTCAACTCTCAGAGAGGGAAGTGAAGTCATGCATGCGCTTAGGCCTCAGACAAATGTGGGTTGAAAGGCGGGCTCAACCACTTCCCAGCTGTGCATACTAGGGCAAGTCACGTAACTTCTCTGAGCTGTGGCTTCCTCATCTGCAAAGTGGAAATGGTATGCCCTGCCTTTGAAGTGCTCTTGCAAGGATTTAAAAGCAACTTTAAAATGCCACTCAGGTTATGTCACACACATACACTGCCCACTTTCATCTTAACCCAGCTCTTAAATAAATGCCAGACTTACTAGGATCCCCAGGTCCGGCATGGCCCAGCCTTATCCACCTCTCCAACCTCATCAGCCACTAAGCTCCACTTGCCTTTTATGTGCCAGTCACCCTCCAGGTCACCCAGTCCCGCAAGCACCCGAGTCCCCTCGCACCACAGGGATTTGGCACATGCTGTTCCCTCACCTCATCCCGCCCTGCTTCATTTGGTGGCTCTTGTCAATTTCATAGTTGCTTGGCTTTCCATTTTGCCTTGGCTTCCAGGAAGCTCCAATCCAGAACCGTGGGCTTCCCGTAGTAGGACTCTAGGGCCTTATATGATATTTTTGCCTTTCCAATCTCACCACTCAGATCTGTCTTAACTTCCTCTCCATATTTCCTCTTTTGTCAAATTCTTTTTAATTTTATTATTATTTCTCAGATGGAGTCTCACTCTGTCCCCCAGGCTGGAGTGCAGTGATGTGATCTCAGTTGCTTGCAACCTCCATCTCCATGGTTCAAGCGATTCTCCTGCCTTAGCCTCCCAAGTACCTGGGATTACAGGCTCCCACCACCACACCCAGCTAATTTATGCATTTTTAGTAGAGGCAGGATTTCACCATATTGGCCAGGTTTGTCAGCTGACCTCAAGTGATCCACTCACTTCTGCCTTCCCAAGTGCTGGGATTACAGGCATGAGCCACCGGAGGGGATTGCCCGGCCTTACACATAGCAGTATCTCAGTAAAGACAGTTGAAATACATGGAGTTTAAACTAATTTTTATCTGGCTGCATTGTTTGCCTCCCTGTAAGTTGCCTTCTTTCCCATTTGGAATGCAGTGAAGTATGAACACAGCAGGGTGCCCCACCCTGGGCTGAGCTCTGCATCTACCCCACACCCCTGCAAAGCAGGCACTGTTGTTCTTAAGTTCTCGGGGAAAATCAGCAGGGGTGAGATATGCCTTTCTGGTTTTCCCACAAGACCCTAACACAGTGCTGGGCACATAGTGGGTGCTCAGAATATCCTGTTCATCACTCGCCTGGAAATCTCCAAGCTTCATTTCCCCATTCTTAATTTTCATCATCCAAAGAGGCCTCTGGTTATCTCAATCCCAAACTGCTAGACAGTCCCTACTCCATATGAGGGCGGGACTCCTCATCCATGACACCTGCTTCCCATAAGGAAGTTTTTGACCCCTACAGGACTGGTCTCAAAGGCAAATCAGTGTTTGCACAGCAGGACAATTTGGTTTGCTATCAGGGGAATTCCTTTCCGGCTATGATTTAAATCTCCCCTTCTGCCTTGGGTAGAATTTCCACTTTGCCATAAGGTGTTCCTGGAAGCGAGTGACCTCCCTCTCCCCCTACTACCCTCTCCCCGCCCCACTCTGACCCCGTGGGCTCTGGCCCTGAGTTCTTACCCATCCAGACTTCCCCAAACTGCCCAGCTCCGAGTTTCTTCTCTAGCTTGAGGGATTCGCGGGGGATCTCCCAGGCATCTTTCTCCCAAGGCTTCTGGGGTTTGGAAGACACGCAGGGCACCGACAGTTTCTGGCAGAGCCCATCGCTCCCCTCTGGAAGAGAGTCCTCAGTCAGCTGAGGGCAACAAGCTCCAAGCCAGCCAGAGGTTGCCCCTCGGAGCCCCCCTGACTTGCCCCTTGGAGCCCTCCCTGCCTGGCCCTCTGTATCTGTCCAGAGTTCCACCTGGTTGCCACCATCAGAGACATTCCCAAGCCAGCAGAGTGTGACGGGGTGCCACCTCTACATCCTGGCCACCTCACCCTCCTGCTCAACAGTCCTAAACCTTCAGAAGCATCCAAAGTAACTATCTGTCTGGGGTAGGGCCAGGAAGGGCACAGCAGGTCTCAGGGGCCGCAGTGCATCTGCAACTAGGGGCCTCTGGGACCATCTCGGGGTGGGGGGTGGATGCAACCCCCGGAGTGCGACTCACTCTTGTAGTGGGCCACCAGCTCCTGTAGGGTGCTGAAGGTGCTTCGGGGGGATATGTAGAAGCCCCCGTTGTCCAGGGTCCGGATCTTGTAATGTTTCACGGTATCTCCCTGCCGAGGATCGTAGTCTCGCACGGACAAAGAGTAGCTTCCTGAATTGGCCAAAGAGAAACCCCTCAGAATGGCATTTCGGGGCCTGCCACCTCATGTCAGCACTCTGACACCTCATAAGGCTACTGCTGGCACCATCCTGGCACCGGGGCAGAAGTGCACAAGGGTCTGAGTGGGCTGTGGGAGCCACACACATGGAGTTCTCATCCAGGCATTACCACATTTACCCGTGAGACCTTGGCCACGTGACTACGTTACCTCTCTATGCCTCTGTTTCCTCATCTGTCAAATGGGAATAGTTCTCATGCCTTCCTACCTGATCCTGTTGCCTGATGGTTAAAAGAAGTCATGTCTGTAAACTAGTTGGAATGTGAACACTCAGCAGATGTTGGCTATCATCATCATCTTCATTAGTCCTGTTCTATCAATCTATCTTTCTATCATCTATCCTATAAAAAGCCAAGAGACTATACTATACTTTTTACTTTTTCATAAAAACTCAGGCTATGACTTTTCTGGAAAAAAATCCAGAGGTCCAGTTCACTTATTGAAATGTGAATGTGCTGTGGTAGGCTGAATAATGGTCTCTCAAGATGTTCACACCCTAAACCCTGGAACCTGAGAATATGTCACCTTACATGGTAAAAGGGACTTTAGAGACGTGATTAAGATAAGGGTCTGGAGATGGGGGGATTATCCCGGATGATCCAGGTAGACTCAATGTAATCACTTGGGTCCTTGTTAGAGGGAAGTAGGAAGGTCAATGTGGGAGAAGTGAAGATGGAAACAAGAGCTTGGAGAGATGTCAGGAAGGGGCCATGAGCCAAGGAATGCTGTAGCCTTCTGGAAGCTTAAAAAAAAAAAAGCAAGAAAATGAATTCTCCCCTGAAGCCTCCAGAAGGAAGCAGCCCTGCTGACATCTTGAGCCCGGTGAGGTCAGACTACTGACCCCAGAACTAACAGTTCTGAGAACAGACGTGTGTTACTTTAAGCCACTAAATTTGTGTTAATTTGTTACAGCAGCAATAGGAACCTAACATACATATTAGGCTGGTGCAAAATAATTGCAGTTTTTGCCATAGAAAGTAGTGGCAAAAACTGCGATTACTTTTGCACCACCCTATACTATCACATAGAGCAGAAAAACATAACCTTTCAGTTTATGACCACCATTTTGCCATTTGTGAGCTATGTGCCCTTGGGCAAGTTTTTAGCCCCTCTGTCTCAGTTTTCTCTACCATAATAGTACAAAGTCATAGGATTTGGTGGGGGTTAAACTGTTTTGTTTTGCAGGGGGACAGAGTCTCACTCTGTCACCCAGGTTGGAGTGCAGTGATGCAATCTTGACTCACTGTAACCGCTGCCTCCCAGGTTCAAGGGTTTCTCCTACCTTAGCCTCCCAAGTAGCTGGGATTATAGGCGCCTACTACCACATCCAGCTAATTTTTGTATTTTTAGTAGAGATAGGGTTTCGCCACATTGGCCAGACTGATCTCCAACTCCTGATCTCAGGTGATCCACCTGCCTCGGCCTCCTAAAGTGCAGGGATTACTGGCATGAGCCACCATGCCCGGCCTGAGGTCACACTTTATACAATGTACTTGGTTTATTTGAGTCAAGCAGTTGTGAAGCAAAGGTGCACTCAGCACATGAAACCTGAAGTCACAAGAATCCTACTGATGTTCATTTCTTTGGGGCAAGGCGCCTCAATCGATGCCAGTTTGAGGTACGTGATGTTTTCCAGCCCTGGTCTTGCCATCTGTGCACCCAACCAGCATGAACCCACCCTTGCAGCACAGATGTTCCAGAAAGCTGGTCACCTGACATTAAAACTTCCAAAAGCTTCCCAGGAGCATTTCCAGCAGGGTCCCAGAGAAGGCTGGCTTGAGTCTCTTCTGGCGACCTCATCCTACCTCATTTCCTTATGGAGGGAGGGAAGGAGGAATGAGGCTTGTGGATAAGATATATTGTAATGGACATTTTCTTTTCTTTTTTTTAGAGACAGGGTCTTGCTCTGTTGCCCAGACTGGAGTGCAGTGGCTCCTTTATGGCTCACTGAAGCCTTGAACTACTGGACTCAAGTGATCCCCTGGTCTCACCCTTCTGAGTATTGGGGAGTACATGTATGCGCCACCACACTTGGCTAATTTTTAAAATTTTTTGTAGTGATGGGGTCTCACTATGTTGCCCAGGCTGGTCTCGAACTTCTGGGCTTAAGTGATTCTCCTGCCTTGGCCTCCCACACTTGATCTGTTATGGGTATTAAAAAAAAAAAAAAAAAAATCAAGGCCAGGTGTGGTGGCTCATACCTGTAATCCCAATCCTTTGGGAGGCTAAGGCAGGCAGATTGCTTGAGCCCAGGAGTTCGAGACTAGCCTAGGCAACATGGCAAAAACCCATCTCTACAAAAAAGAAAGAAAAGAAAGAAAGAAGGAAAGAAAGAAAGAATTAGCCAGCATGGTGGCGTGTGCCTGTAGTCTCAGCTACTCGGGAGCCCAGGATGCAGAAGCTGCAGTGAGCTGGGATTGTACCACTGCACTCCAGCCTGGGCAACAGAGTGAGACCCTGTCTCAAACAAAACAAAACAAAACAAAACAAAACAAAAACAAAAACAAACAAAAAACAAGTTAGAGAAGAGCAAGCTTCAGCCAGATGTTTCTTTGTTTTCGGGGCCTAAGCCACGTGACACTCGTTCCACTGACTGAAGCTGGCAGCTATCGGGGATAAGAAAGGTGAAGCCAGGCACAGAGCCTCAGCCCTCCCGGCTCAGGTAGCCAAGAGCAGGAGAAACCTGGCTGCTGCAGCACCCAGCTGGGTTGTTCAGCCTTTTCCAGGGCATCTTCCAAGGGAAGGGTGGTGGCCGATCCCACCTGGCGCACCTCTGCAGGGAGGACAAGGTGGGGAGGGCTGATGTCACCTTTCGTGGTCTCGCTATCCCGGATCATGAAGGAGCCCAGCATGTTGCCGGGAGCCAGGAGCTGGCGCTCTGCGTCCTTCCGGCTGATGCCCTTGAAGAACCACCTGATGGAAAAGGGAGGAGACAGATGTGAAGGTGAGGACGGGCAGTCCTGTCCTGCCTACACAGGGTGCCTGTGGCCATGCGGGACCCAGGGGAAGTTAGGATACAGAGGGTCTGGATTCCCGCCGCATCTGTTTTACTCAAGGATTGTTTTGGAGAGAGAGGGAAAAGGAGCCATTCTTTTGATATCAAAATAGACATTTTACCAGAGGTGAATCCTGTCTGCTGAGACTGAATGTTACGCAATTTGGGGGAACTTGCTTTAAGAAAAATAATACAGCATTACAAGTACAAAGAGCTGATGGGTCATTCCAGTGCCACCAGCTGTGAGGGACAGGGAGATGGACAGGAAGACAGAGTGGAAAGAGACAGGAGTCTTAACCAACTGTGGTCAAAGTCTTACTTTTGCAGATTTCACAAGCATATAAGACCACGGGGAAGATCTCTCTTGGGGCCTTGGAAGCCTGGGAAGGGCCTGGGTTTCGTTAGCTTTGCAATCGATCCTCCTCTGCATATACTGAGTTGAATATAAATAAAGTTGGCATGAACTTCTAAGCTACAATGTGAGATTGGAAAGAACTTTATACTTAGGATCATGCCCTGGGACCTTGTCTTCATTCTTCCTGAAGAATGAAGAACGAAGCAGCCGAATCCTTTCCCACCTTCACTAGGGTGAGGAGCAGTTGGAAAAAAGCCGCAGACCTGAGCTGAGCCTGCCCTGGCCCTGCCATGAACCTGCAGTGAGTGTCACTTTGAGCAAGTGGCCTTCCTCTGTGGGCCTTTGGTTCTTCTGTTATTAACTGGCGAGGAAGCGAACACCTATCTGGTAATCCATCCAACAACTCTACGGAGCTGTCACGTTTATCATTCCCATTTTTTGTTTTTTTGGTTTTTTTTGAGATTGAGTCTCGCTCTGTCACCCAGGCTGGAGTGCAGTGGCGTGCTCTTGGCTCACTGCAACCTCCGCCTCTCGGGTTCAAGCAATTCTCCTGCCTCAGCCTCCTGGGTAGCTGGGATTACAGGCACGCACCACCATGCCCAGCTAATTTTTTGTATTTTTAGTAGAGACGGGGTTTCACCATGTTGGCCAGGCTGGTCTCGAACTCCCGACCTCAAATGATCCCCCAGCCTCAGCCTCCCTAAGTACTAGGATTACAGGCGTAAACCACTGCACCCGGCCCCATTTGATAGATGATGAAATTGAGGAAAAGAGAGGGCAAGTGAGTTGCCCAGAGTCACACAGCTGGGAAGTTGTAGAGACAGGATTGGAAGCTAGGCAGTCTAACTCCAGAACCAAAGCTCTTAATCACCATGCTATGTGGCCCGTCTACCTTCTTTGCTTTCATATTGTAAAGTGACTTGTGCCATGGTAAAATATTCAACAATGTAAGAGTGAGAACTGTCTCCCTGACAATTCTGCTCCTAGAAAGTTATCCCATAGACTTCGCACAAGGAAGAAGTGACGTATCCCCCAGGAGATTTGCTCCAGTACATGACTGGAAATGACTTGGGTCCACCCATATCAGACAGAGGTTAAATGGTTGTTGGACATCTACTGGACAGATGCCCTCTGGTATAAAAAGGAAGGAGGTGTGCCATGGATGGTCTGAACAAGAGCACGGAACAGTGTGTGTGGTGTCTACCACTCGGGTGAGATAAGCGGGAAGAGATGTCTTTTCTTATACAAGGAGGAAGCATCTGTGAGGACTCACGAGAAACTTGTTGCTTTTGTTGGGGGGGAAGTGGCTGGTTGGGGACAGGGTGGGAGGAAGACGTCTCACTCTCTCTTCTGCAGGCTTCCCCACATTTGCATTTGAATCATTTGGAAGTATTGCCTCTTTCCCATTTCAAGGGGGAGTGACAGAAACTAAGATTCCAACCTGCCCCATTCCCAAGGTCCCAGCTGCGCTCCCTAGAGGCCACATCTGTTAGGAGTTTCTTGATTTAGACACAAGGTCCCCTGAGTGTACTGAAAGGACAGATATGTGTATTTATTTTTGAGACAGAGTCTCCCTCTGTTGTCCAGGCTGGAGCACAGCGGTGTGGTCTCGGCTCACTGCAACTCGCCTCCCAGCTCAAGAGAATCTTGTCTCAGCCTCCTGAGTAACTGGGATTACAGGCACCTGCCATCACACCTGGCTAATCTTGTATTTTTTTGTAGAGGCGGGGTTTCACCATGTTTCGCCAGGCTGGTCTGGAATTCCTGACCCCAGGTGATTCGCCCGCCTTAGCCTCCCAAAGTGCTGGGACTACAGGTGTGAACCACCACCCCTGGCCAGATATATGTATTTAGATCCGTTGTTCCCAAGATGGGTCCCTGGGGCAGCAGCAGTAGCAGCAGCTGCTCCTGCTGCCGCCTCGCCCGAGAACCTGCTGGAAATGCATATTCGGAATCAGAAAGTGGGGCCCAGAAACCACTTGTTAGCCCCAATCCAGGTGATGCTGATGCTGCTCAAGTCTGAGGACCCCCACCTAGGTTATTGCCTTGGTTTGCAATGATAACCCCCATTCATGTTGTCTACACCCTGCCTTTTTCACTTAACAATTATGTTGCCTTTGGGAAATAATACCAGCCATGCCTCCTCCAAGATTGCTGCAAGGACCGCGGGAGGGATTCTGTAAGCATTCAGGCTCTGGAGTGAAGAAACAGAGCATGGGATGACCCACGGAAAAGCCCGGAGCAGGACAGAGAAGCGGCTAAGAGCCCCCAGTTCCATAAACATTAAAATAGGGTGGCCTTATTTAGTTTGTTTGTTTTAAGACAAATATTGCTTTTGTCCCCCAGGCTGGAGTCCAGTGGCATGATCTCGGCTCACTGCAACCTCTGCTCCCGGGTTCAAGCGATTCTTCTGCCTCAGCCTCCTGAGTAGCTGAGACTACAGGAGTGTACTACCACGCTTGGCTAATTTTTTTGTATTTTTACATGAGATGGGGTTTCACCATGTTGGTCAGGCTGGTCTCAAACTCCTGACCTCAGGTGATCCTCCCGCCTTGGCCTTCCAAAGTGCTGGGATTACAGGCATGAGCCCCCATGCTCAGCCAGAAGGGGGTGATGGGAAAAGCTTAAATGTTTTCATTTTCAACAGGCAAGCATCCCAAACCCATAGTACCATCTAGCTAGAAAGAGGAGGCAGAAGAGACAAAACAATGGGGACTGTCATCTTTCAACTTGTTGACTGGTTTTTAATTGGATGTACTGTCATCCCACAGTGTAGTCATATTTTTACTCATCAGCCTCACCCACCATACAGGGAACATCTCCAGCAGGGAGCCCTATCTGAGTCATCTTGTATCCCTGGAATGGGGCCACATACACATTAGGGAATCAACAGGTATCTGCTGGATGATGGATGGATGGAGGGAAGGAGGGAGGGAAGGATGGAGGGAGGTAGGGAGGGATGATTGAAATATACTTTTAGAGTCAAGCTAGACACAAAGAAGAACCCACAGCCAAGAACGAAGGGTTACAGGGAGCTCCTTGAGGACAGGAATATGTCTTATTTGGTTTTGCAGTCCCTCAGCCTGCGAAAGGGACTTAAAGGGTCATGGGCATGTGTTTGTCAAATGAATCAAATGAGCGATGGGCCAGGTGCAGTGGCTCAGGCCTGTGATCCCAGCACTTTGGGAGGCTGAGGCGAGAGGATCACTTGAGCCCAGGAGTTCAAGACCAGCCTGGGCAACATAGGGAGACCCCCATCCCTACAAAAAATATGAAAAAGAAAAAAAAATTAGCTGAGCATGGTGGTGCGCACCTGCAGTCCCAGCTATACAGGAGGCTGAGATGAGAGGATCACCTGAGCCTGGGGAGGCTGAGGCTGCAGTGAGCTGTGATGGCACTACTGCATTCCAGCCTGGATGACAGAGTGAGACCTTGTCTCAAAACAAAACAAATGAGGGATGACTGGCCAGGTGTGAGCTGTCTCACCTCTCCAGAGACCCTTCTTGGCTGCATGCCAGTCTGTGCCGAGGATGCAGCAGCAGACGGAGTCCCCGCTCTCACCAGCTCTCTTCCCGGCAGGGCAGGCAGAAAATGCACACGTGACCAACCAAAGAAACAAGGTTGTTTTGCTAGTAAAACATGTTCAGAAGGGAATAAAACAAGATTTCCACAAGACAGAGTCACAGCAGGGACCCACGTTAGCGTCTCTTCCCTGACAGGAAGGATGAAAGCTGAAGAAAGAGAAGGAGCCAGCCAAATTCATGAGCCCTGGGAAGAGTGTGTGCCAGGCAGGAGGACAGTGTGCACAGAGGTCTTGAGATGCAAACAAGGCTGGCTTTGCTCATGCCCCTTCTGGAAGGCAGGAAATAGGATACTTACTCCTCTGTCTCCAGAGAGTCAACGCGGGCGACATAGTTGCTTGGGATGTAGCCCTCTTTCCGGGTGGCCAGGGACCGAGCCTTCCACCACTCCCCAGATCTGAGGGACAGGAGGGGGTGGAGGTGTTAGGGGGCAGAAGGATCATTCTTCAGTCCCCTCAAGCTCTCTAGCCTTGACCTAGAAAACCCCCTGCCTCCAGAAAGCCAGTAGGGTGAGGGACAGGGCTGTGACTATGTCAGCATGTGCCCATGATTAGGGCAGGGATCCTTACAGTGGTTCCCACTGGGCATCTGAGGGTCTGGAATCACCCTGTCCACAGCCCACAGCCCTGGGTCTCTGGCTCCTCTCCTCTTCCCTGGTCTTGCAGCTTTGGCCTTATTACCCATACCCATGGCAGGGCCCTGTGCCCATGGGAGACTAAGAATGGTTCAGCTGGGGCTGAGAATAGGGACAGTGGGCTTGGGGGTCTGACCAGGCATGACCACTCCCATTCTCAGGCTTCAGCACCTCCTGGACACTATACCCACGGACGGTGAAGACTGTAGGGGATCAGGTGTGGCAAACTCAGAGATCCAAGGATTTCCGAATGCAAGGTCACCTCGATGAGCCTGGTCCACAGGTAAGCCGGTAGCTTAATCACAAGAAAGCGTCACCTGTTCACCCCAGGCTGGACGTGCACTCTCAGTAAGTGCACAGTCCCCTTCATCCAGGTTGGCAGCAAACCCTTCCTCCACTATTGTGATCAGCTTCTCGTTAGCCATGTCTACCCAGGACAAGATAGCCCATCTATCAGGTTCTTTATGGGAGCACAGAAGAGCACCTAGTTGGGTTGAGGAGGCAGGTCTGTCTTAGGGGGAGTGGGATGGGAACTCACTCCTCCAGGACCATCATCTGGTCCCCCTTCCGGAAGCTGAGGTCTTCGTGGTGAATGGCCTCGTAATCATACAGGGCAACCACGATGATGTCCTCTGAGCCTGCTGGGAAGGGAGACACAAGGGAGGTGGGGTTTTGTCTAAGTGCATCCACAGCCCTGGGTGACCCTCACGCAGCACCTGGCACAGCTCCGGGCCCATCGCTTGGTGGCTCCTAGTATAAGTGGGTGTCTCACCATGCTGGGTATGATTCTCAGGTTTAAAGCTAAACGTGTTTCGTTCATGTTACTAAACAGCGTTCTGGAAACACAGTAGCCCGTGCAAAGTACCTCAGAGGAAATTTCAGGTATTCTCAAGAGGGGTTTGGCTGTTTGGGAGTTTTGACTCACTCTGAGTGGGAACCTAGTGGAAGCCTCTGCAGGACACGTGACTCCGCTGCATCTGCTCAGAGATACTTACCCTCCCCGATTCCTGGTGGGCTGCTGTTGTTGCTGTTCGGCCCCTGTGGGGAAGAAATGGGAGAAGGGAATGAATCTGACCAGTGTGCGGGGATCCATGGAAGGTCTGTGTTGAGAAGAATACCCAAGAGCATCTTACCCTAGCCCTGCACATCATGGGAGGAGGCCCATATAGGGCAGGGGACATGCGTGGCACCACACAGCACATTAGGGGCAGAGCCAGCAAAATGATCCAAGTTTTTCTTTTCTTTTTTTTTTTTTTTGAGATGGAGTCTCACTCTGTCAGCCATGCTGGAGTGCAGTAGCACAATCTCAGCTCATTGCAATCTCTGCCTCCTGGGTTCAAGTGATTCTCCTGTCTCAGACCCCTGAGTATCTGGGATTGCCGGCACATGCCTGCATGCCTAGCTAATTTTGTATTTTTAGTAGAGACGGGGTTTCACCATGCTGGCCAGGCTGGTCTTAAACTCCTGACCTCAGGTGATCCGCCCACCTCGGCCTCCCAAAGTGCTGGGATTACAGGCGTGAGCCCCTGTGCCCGGCCAGGATCCAGGTTTCTTGAGTTGTAGCCTCAGCCTTCAGTCTCAGACATACCAGGGGATACTGCTTGACCCTTCCCCTCAACACTCAGTGAGGGGGTTGGTCCAGATTGGTGTTTTCTGACTAAGTTCGAAGAAATCGTAGGTCCACCAATGATTTATATTCCATAAATAGAGGCTCCATTATGTATGTGAAATAATCTAAATGTCCATCCGAAGGGGAAGTGACACCTAAACTGTGGTGTTCTAAGCAGGCTTTTTTTTTTTTTTAAAGAGACAGGGTCTCCCTGTGTTGCCAGGCTGGAGTGCAGTGGTATGATCATAGCTCACGTGGTCTCGAACTCCTGGATTCAAGGAGTCCTCCCGCCTCAGCCTCCCAAAATGCTGGGAGTATAAGTGTGAGCCACTGCACCTGGCCTGTGTTTTTATTTTCAAAAAGAACGTATTTGTGTGTGGCACCTGTAAGTAAACATTAATATGAAGAAACAAGTTTGGGAAACACTGAAAACTACATCCTGTTTTTGGGAGCTTCGCAAAGCCCATTACAAAGATTCACAAAAGCACAGAGCAGTCGGGTAGGGAGGGAGCCTGTTACACTAGAAGTTTTTCAAACTGCTTTGATCCCAGAGCCCTTTCTCTGATGATTATTGACGCCCTATCCTGAAATAATCCTGTATAGGTAACAATTAATCCTTAACTGGTTTACACTGAACTAAAGCCCCACAGGAGGGGAATAGTAAATACGTTGATAACTGCTGCAGGAGAACAATGAATAGGTAACTGCAGCCCTCAGGGCTGATGCTCAAAAAGGACAACCAGAAACTGGTGGGGAAACCCTCTACTTCCTGCTGATGACAAGCCAGAGGACCTCAGAGAACCCGAGAACCTGGAGCCCTCACCAAGAAAGGGCCCAGGGCCACACAGGTCAGGAGAGAAGCATGCATGGGAGTGACTTAGGGTTTACAGTCTGAGATCAGCTCAGGACATCACCAGAGTGAGGAGTGTGTGTAATTTCAGGCTGTATGAATAGAGGTCAAGTGTCAGAGGGAGCGAGGTGACTATTCCATCATTATCCCGTTTCCAGAATTAGTTCTATTCTAGGTATAGTGCCCGGAGAAGGGCAAGCAGGATGGAAAGGGGCCAGAAACCCTTGTCCTGTGAAAGATGGTTTGGAAGGGATGCATGGGTTGGGATATGATCTCTGCCTTCAATCTCTGTAAGCTGTTATGGGGCAAAGGGAGTGGATATATTTTGATCAAGGGGTGAGTGTTATGAGGGTAATAGGTCTTTCTTTCTTTTTTTTTTTTTTTTTTTGAGACGGAGTTTCGCTCTTGTTACCCAGGCTGGAGTGCAATGGCACGATCTCGGCTCACCGCAACCTCCGCTTCCTGGATTCAAGCAATTCTCCTGCCTCAGCCTCCTGAGTAGCTGGGATTACAGGCACGTGCCACCATGCCCAGCTAATTTTTTGTATTTTTAGTAGAAACGGGGTTTCACCATGTTGACCAGGACGGTCTCGATCTCTCGACCTCGTGATCCACCCGCCTCAGCCTCCCAAAGTGCTGGGATTACAGGCTTGAGCCACCGCGCCCGGTCTTTCTTTAATATAAGGAAGAACTTTCTAAGGGCTCACCCCAGGAAGGACTGCACCCCACCTCGGGAAACATCAAACACAGACTGAGCTCCCAGAGAAAACCACAGATAAGAGATGGACCCAAAGGCCACAGAGGAGAGAGAACTCCAGGTTTAGGGTTGGAGAGACCTGAATCTACCACTTCCCAGCCAGGGGACCCTGGGGGCCGTTTAACCCCTTTGAGCCTTTGTCATCCTGTACAGTGGCAGAACTCCTGCCCCTCAGCTTTCGGTGAAGATTAATGAATAGAAACACCTCCGTCCAGTGCCTGGAACACAGTAGGTGTTCAAAGAACAGCAGTGATCATTCCAGCTGTTCCTGCTGCTGTTAGTACTGCCATCACCATCACAGTGCTAGTACTATTACTTTATTACTACTATTACTGCTCCCATGGCCCTTACTATCACAAACACCAACGCTAGAGAAGCTGGGACCATGGCTGCCACTATTTCCATTACAGCTCCTGCCACCGTTACCACGGCCGCCATTACCATGGCCACCATCACCGTTACTGCTGTCCCTTCAGTTGCATTAGACTTCTGCCTGTTACTCCGGCTGCTGCCACTGGCACTCTGGAACTTGCCCTGCCCTGCCCAAGTTTGAATACTGGCTCCACAGCTTACTATCATGTGGGTTTAGGTAAATTATCTGAACTCTGTAAAATATTAAGCCAATTTGCTGGGCGCAGTGGCTCATACCTGTAATCCCAGCACTTTGGGAGACCGAGGCAGGCGGATCACGAGGTCAAGAGATCGAGACCATCCTGGCCAACATGGTGAAACTCAATCGCTACTAAAAATACAAAAATTAGCTGGGTGTGGTGACATGTGCCTGTAGTCCCAGCTACTCGGGAGGCTGAGGCAGGAGAATCACTTGAACCCGAGGTGGAGGTTACAGTGAGCCGAGATCGCACCATTGCACTCTAGTCTAGTGACAGAGTGAGACTCCATCTCAAAAAAAAAAAAAAAAAAAAAAAAAATTAAGCCGATTACAAAATAACACCAGGAATACAGTGCCTTGACTGTTATTTAACATATTGTTTGAGCCATGTTATGTGACCTCATCTTTATCATTAATATAAAAATGGGCCAGCGCAGTGGCTCACGCCTGTAATCCCAGCACTCTGGGAGGAGAAGGCTGGCAGATCGCCTGAGGTCAGGAGTTTGAGACCAGCATGGCCAACATGGTGAAACACTGTCTCTACTAAAAACACACACACACAAAAAATTAGCCAGGCATGGTGGCTCGTGCCTGTAGCCCCAGCTACTCGGGAGCCTGACACAATAATTGCTTGAACCTGAGCAGCGGAGGTTGCAGTGAGCTGAGTTGGCACCACTGCACTCCGGCCTGGGCAACAGAGCGAGACTCCATCTCAAATAAAAACAACAACCACAATGACAACAAAACAATGCGGCCACCCCCTTCTCTAACGATAGAATTGCTTCTCTGTACTGTTCGCTCTGAGCTGACACTGCACTGACTATTTCCCCATCAGAGGGTATTATCCCATTTTAGGGATTATTACCCCAAATTATAAAATGGCCTACAGCCTCATCCATAAAATGGGTATAATGAAAACGGTTACCTACGGTAGGATTATGGTGAGGATTAGGGTGCTAATAGCCATAGAGGCTCAGAACAGTGCTTGGTTCCTCGTCAGCTCTGTATAAGCAAACAATAAGTTGGGAATACCGCTCCTAGCATGACTGCTTCTCTTTTTACAACTCTTGCTGTGGGTTCTGCTGCTGCTCTTGCTGTTACATTCGTGCAGTTAGGGTTGGTTCTATTACTATGACAATCGTTACTCATTTTCGCAATGCTGCTGATACTACCACTACATCCTCACTTCAGCTGCTGTTATTACTGCTGGTCACTCATGACTCTCAGCACTGCTTTTGCCTCCACCCAGGCCTGAGGCCTCAGATGCTCGTGCACACCTGTTTGGAGAAGCCCAGGCTGACGGGCCAAGCCCAGGCTGCAGGACAAGGAGAGGTGACTTCCTTGCTCCTATGCATCCTGGCGCTGCATCCGGAGGGTCAGAGCACTGTGGGCGGCCAGTCAGCTTCATTTCACCCCAAGCCCACCCTGCCCAGTCTTGGAAAGACAGGAGGCTGTTAGGGCAATGTTGGGGCAGCATCCGGCAGCCCCCAGGGAAACTGGGGCCTCCCCTACTCACCGGCTTGATGGTAGATGTGGGATCCGGCACGTACACAGGGCAGTGCGGGTTGGCGCTGGGTTCAGTTTTTGAGAATGTGTTGTCTCTGGCCCGGAGGAACCTGGACTTCACGCACCCCATCCTGCAGCAGACAGAAGGGAGGTGAGCCCCGGTTAACCAGAGCCCCATGCAGGGAAGTTCCGTGTCCCCTGCCCCCAGGCTGGCTCCCACTGGCCGTCCCACTCTTCACTCTCCTGCCAGCTCCATGCACCCCCATCCTCCCCACGTGGAGCCCACTCATCTTGCCACCTCCGGGCTTCCCCGTGTCCATGTGTCACAGCACTGGCCCAGAGCTGACAAGCTGTCATTGTCATGGGTACCAAGGACCAGCATGATGGGAGTTTATTCAGAGGATGGCACGAGGATAATATAAATGTAACAGGTGGAGCTGTTGGCGGACAGAGTGGGGAGCGGGTGGCGGGCACTGCCAGCTCTCAGGGCAGAAAGCCTCACCGATCCTCGACTCCTCCACCCCACCAGCACCTCACTGACCACTTTCCTGCCCCTAGCAAGCTCTCAGGTCCTCATCAGCAAAATGGGGACAATAATAAAACCTACGGTGGGGAAATACTCCCGCGCAGTGTCGGGCTCAGAGTAAACAGTACAGAAAAACTATAGTATTGTCAGATGATAAATTGCCATTTTTATATTAAATGATAAGACGAGGTCACATAACACGGCTCAAACAATCTAGTTTAATAATAGTCAAGGCACTGTATTCCTGGTATCATTTTATAAATGGCTTATAACTCCCTCCCTCCCTCCCTCCCTCCCTCCTTCTCTTCCTTCCTTCCTTCCTGTTCTCCTTCCCCCTCCTCCCCTTCTTCCTCTTCCTCCCCTTCTCCACCTCCTTCCTCCTCCTCCTCCTCCGCCTCTCTCTCTGTCTCTCTCTGATTTACGTGCTCATTCATTCACCCATTTCCACAGCCAACATTTACTGGGCATTTTCTAAACCGTGAACAAGAGAAGCAAGTTCGTGGCCTCAGGAACTCAATTGCAGCTGAATGGGCGACACAGACAGTAAACAGGTCAAGGAACAAATAGCAGGACAAATTGAGTTAGTGAAAAGTGTGAGGATAGTAAGAGAGGGTGCTATGGGGAACAACAGGTCTGGCCCTCCTGGGCAGGGCATTTGGGGAAGGCCTCTCGGAGGAGGGTATATTGAACCTGGGGTCTAAATGACACAAAGGAGCCAATCCGGGGACACTCTGAGGGGAGATGTTCCAGGCAGAGGGAACAGCAAATGCCAAGGCCCTGAGGCTGGCACAGGCTTGGAGAGAACGTGGAGGCGCTGAAACAGGAGAGCGGCCGAAGCTCGTGGGCAGGGGGAGGGTGTTTGTGATGAGGTCACCACAAGTGAGGCCTTTGGATTTTAATCTAAGGATGAAGGAAAGTTTCTGGCAGGAGAATGACGGGATTCGGTTTGCTCTTTAAATAATCCCACCGGCGGCTGAGTGAGGTGTGGACAGTAGGGAACAGGGGAGGGAACGCTGTGACGACTCTGCTGCAATTGTTCAAGGATGAGATGAGGGTGGCCCGGCCCAGGGGTGGCCAGAGAGGAGGTAAGCGTTGGACAGGTCTGGGGACATCTCGGAGGTAGACCTTGCAGACTTTCCCGCTGTATTCAATAAATTAAAAGATGCTTTAAAAAAAAAAATTTACTCTGAGTAGACTCAAAGTGTAATTGTAAAAGTGGAAGAAATGTTTCATTTCTTTTCTTAAAATGCGCACACCCATTTGCTGGGAAGGCCGGCTGCGACAGCCGCATGAGGAAGTGTGCGCTGTTCTCATCTCTGCACAATTGCCGCTTTCTTCTGAAGCAGTTAGAACTGTTAGACTTAGCTTGCTAAAATAAACATGTGTTTGTGATTTAAGCAAAAAACAACAACCAAGTTCCCAGGCTTTGATGAGTTGCTTCTAAAAACGAGAAAAGATTCCTTTTATTTACAAGGATTTGCCTTGTCCTGGTGGGAATTGGGAAAGATTTACCACCTCAAGACATGAGCAGTTTTTGTTTTGTGTTTTGGAAATAGAGGAACACATTCAGACTCTTGGAGTGCTGGATCATTCATTTGAAAAATTATCACAATTAATCACCGATTTATAATGTACTCGCATGCATTTAAAACTGAAACCAGCATCTCTCTTTAATTTGCAATCAATGTGTATTACAGTTCTGGGAAATTACACAGGCGTCTTGGGCGGCATGTATGACACACAATTGTATCACATTTCCTATGTTTTGGTCTGCATAAAGATATTCTGAGAAGAGCAGTGCTGTGTGAGGTAGGGCAGCTCACTCCACCTCTCTGGGCACCCACTGATCTGCAGCTGGGAGTGTTTTGACTCTCAATCCACACACTGAGCAACTCATGTGCGTCACTTACGTTATCAATGTACACATTCAAGATGGCCACAGGGTCCTGGGGAGGGGTCTTGGAAGACCGTGTTCATTCACAGGCCAAGGCCGTCTCTGAGAAAGGATGCCGAGGGTTCTACCTCACAGGGTGGCGGTTAGCACTGAGCGAGTGAATGAGTGTGCAAGGCCCAGCATGTATTAAGTGCTGCAGCCACGTTAACCACAGATGTGGCACTGCCCGGGGCATGAAGCAAGCCCAGTTTGCAATTCCTTTGGCCCACAAGCCTAGAGGGACTGCAATACCAGAGAGGTTCGCTCTTTTCAAAATAGGGAATTCCCATGAGTTCCATTTTCGCACAATAAAGTGTGATTTGCTTTCTCAGAGACAGTCTCGCTCTGTCACCCAGGCTGAAGTGCAGTGGTGCGATCACAGTTGACTGCAGTCTTGACCTCCTAGGCTCAAGTGATCCTCCCACCTCAGCCTTCTGAGTAGTTGGGACTACGGGCACAAACTACCATGCCTGGCTCATCTTTTGTTTGTTTGTTATTTATTTATTTATTTTTGAGACAGGGAGTCTTTCTCTGTCGCCAGGCTGGAGTGCAGTGGTGCTGTCTCAGCTCACCACAACCTCTGCCTCCTGGATTCAAGCGATTCTCCTGGCTCAGCCTCCCGAGTAGTTGGGATTACAGGTGCCCGCCATTATGCCCTGCTAATTTTTGTATTTTTAGTAGAGACAGGGTTTTTACCATGTTGGCCAGGCTGGTGTAGATCTCCTGACCTTGTGGTCTGCCTGCTTCACCTCCCAAAGTGCTGGGATTACAGGTGTGAGCCACTGTGCCTGGCCTAATTTTTTAAAATTTATTTTCTGCAGAGACAGGGGTCGGAGAAAGGGGCAGGGCTCACAATGTTGCTCAGGCTGGCCTCGAACTCCTGGCCCCAAGTGATCCTACTACTTGGCCTCCCAAAGTGCTAGGATTACAGATATGACGCTCCATGTCCAGCTGAAAGTGTGATTTTTCTAAAAGTGATACACTGGCAGGAGTCAAATTTGGGTAAAATGTGATTATCCCCCTAAACCAGAGAACCACGTCTACTGCCTCGTATGAACTGGGCATTTGAAATGCCCATTTTCATGGTCACTAGGCCCAGAAATGTCATGTGGGCCACAAATACAAGTTAAAGTTTTCTACAACCAGGTTTTTTGAAATTAATATTTTATTTTTTACTTTCTTAAAAAAATTTCATTTTTATTTTTATTTTCCTTTTAAATTTATTTCTTTCATTATTATTAATTATTATTATTTTTGAGATGGAGTTTTGCTCTTGTTGCCCAGGCTGGAGTGCAATGATGCGAACTCGGCTCACCACAACCTCCATCTCCCAGGTTCAAGCGAGTCTCCTGCATCAGCCTCCCAAGTAGCTGGGATTACAGGCATGTGCCAACACGCCTGGCTAAGTTTTGTATTTTTACTAGAGATGGGGTTTCACCATGTTAGTCAGGACGGTCTCGAACTCCTGACTTCAGATGATCTGCCCACCTTGGCCTCCCAAAGTGCTGGGATTACAGGTGTGAGCCACCGCACCTGGCTATTGTTTATTTAAAAAAAAAAATTTTACAGTCAGGTTTTTAAAAGTAAAAAATAAGTGAATTAATTTTAAGATGTATTCATTTTACCCAATATATCAAAATTATTAACGTATAATAAAAAGAAAAATTATTGGCCGGGCGCAGTGGCTCACGCCTATAATCCTAGCACTTTGGGAGGCCAAGGTGGGCAGAGTGCCTGAAGTCAGGAGTTTAAGACCAGCCTGGCCAACATGATAAAACCCCATCTCTACTAAAAATACAGAAATTAGCTGGGTATGGTGGCGTGCACTTGTAATCCCAGCTACTCCGGAGGCTGAGGCAGGAGAATCGCTTAAACCCAGGAGGCAGAGGCTGCAGCGAGTTGAGGTCGCGCCACTGCACGCCAGCCTGGGTGACAAGAGCAAAACTCTGTCTCGGAAAAAACAAAACAAAAACATTATTAATGAGATACTTTACATTTTTTTTTTTTTGCACTAAGCCTTCACATCTCAGCATGCATTTTACTTGTAGAGCACATCTCAGCTATGACTCCATCGGTGTTCAACAGCCGTCTGTGGCTCAGAGCTACCGTATCCAAACATGCGGAGACAGAACGTTTCCATCACTGCAGTACCGTAAAGACTGGTGCTCATGCCTGCCTTCCTTGGTGCTTAGCCTGGTGCCTCCTGGCACACAGTAGGAGTGTCATGCACAGTGAGTGGATGACTGCATGCCTGGAGTGCCATGCCTTATGCAGTAGGAAGTAAAGCTTCTGTCAGTACCATAAGACAGGGTATAAAAAAAAAAAAAAAAGTAAGTAAAAGCATCAGGACATGGTTCCTGCTCTATGACCCAGTGAGATGGGGAGACTGGACACCAAATTACATTCCGAAGCCACATACGAAGAAGCTATCAGGAGACACAGAAAGTAGAATGGTGGCTGCCAGGGGCTGGGGGAAGGGGAATGAGGAGTGAGCGTTCAATGGGTGTAGAGTTTCAGATGAAATGAGTTACGGAGGCAGATGGCGGTGATGGTCACACAGCATTATGAATGTATTGAATTCCACTGAAGTGTACACTTTCAAAGAATTGGGATGGTAAATTTGTGATGTGTATTTTGCCACAGTTTTAAGAATGAAAGAAAAAGAAGCTACT